TGAACTGAGAAATGTTTGATTTAAGTTAAGGGAAACGTGATCAGATCTACTTGTATGGGAAAGATTGTGCTTCGATCTTGCGGATTTTCGTGCATATGTTGCGGGAACTGATGGTAAGATATACAATACACTCAAGCGAAAATTGTAACAATTTCAGGATCTTAAGAAACATCTAGCCATCCCACTTACAATATAATCAAGTCGGACGATTGTGCAGAATTTCTTATCACAGTCGGTAATTCCGGTTTTACCCAACGAATCAAGATCATCATCACAAGAAGTATCAGAGTCGTTTTCAGTTGCCGAGCAAGTGTAGCATTTCAAACCTTGAGAGAAGTAAATCAATTTTTTTCATCAAAAAGTTAATTCAACAGGAATCCGTACATACCTGCAGATTTATCAACAACGGCCAACAAAAGTGCAATCAACAAGCAAAGAGTAAAACGCATTGTTTTAGTTCAACATAAATTATCCACAACAAATGCGTGTAGTAAACGGATTAAAAATAATGAAATCTAAGCTTGAATAACAAGGTAGATAAAAGCACTTGCTGTACGGATAAGATATGGCTCTAGGAAATCGCATCTGATACAATTGTATTTTCTAGTGGAAACCCTTCAAGTGATGACAAATTTTTCTGGCCGGGATTAATTAAAAATGCAAATAATTTGCTTAATCAGGACACATTTTATTGTCTATAGAACGGCGTAGAAAACGCAAAACAAATTTCATACTTTATAAGCGGTAACGCCTGGTTTTTTCTTATTGCTTTCTGTCGGGTGTTGCGAAGCATTCGTTAATTTTAGTTCATCTTCTTCAAGCAGAGATAAACCGAAATTTGTTTTCTTAGCCAGTACAAAGCTCTAAATTACTATGGACATTGACAAAATAACGAGTTTATATGAATGAATAAATCGGCTAAGTTTTCTTTAACTAAACTCAGTTTGTCAAGTTTACTAAAATCTAGAAAATCTTTGATTGATTAATTTGGCAGTATTGAGCAATCGACCGGACCGAATGACCAAAAAGTCGTGTAAACTCGACCAACTTTTACAAAAAGTGAGCAAACCCGAGTGTAAAATTAAAAAAATATCTTCTATAAAGAACGGTACATAGGCAATATATTTACATAGAGAACGTCAATAACTATAATAATTGTATAAACAAAATCTAGATCAAAAGCCTACATGATTCAATAGCATGGACTGGAATACTTGAATAAATACTATTTAATTTCATTAATACTCATAAGCGCCTCAGATGATCGTTAGAACACTTTTCAGAGCCTTAGTTTTACTTAAAAAACTGAGATTCTGTCTACTTAAGATTGAAAGCATTACTCATAAAACATCGATGTTCGGCAATAATTCAGTCTAGTAAAGGTTGAACAAGTGCAAATCAATTTTCACTGTTAGTTCGCCACTCTCCACCTGATGGAGGATGAGTTTCTTAATAAGCGGGCCATTAGTGTTTTGGGATTCCGTGTAAACATCGTGGAGGTTTAGTTCAGCTTTCCCCAAAAACTCTAGGGAACAGAAAACCAGGTGAAACTCTGACTAGTTAAACTGAGCCTTAAATAGCGTACCATCCAGGCTGTAAGGGTTGTGTTCCAATACGACAAACGTTAAACGCTCCTTGTTGAGGTTTCTTAACTGAAACTGCATGCTGCAGTTCCATACCAAATTGGCCAACTGCGGAGCGCCGTTTTGTTGAGTATTATTACCATTTTCCATGCTGTCTTTGGCAAAGTCGGTTTCTTGTTCCTGATTTCCCAGAGTCACTCTGCAGTAGATATTTTCGGTATGGGGTTTACCTACACAGAAATCATTATCTCATAGTTTTTCGACCAAATAGGCTCTTGTACATGTGTGTGGTTGCAAAGTTTTTAACCAAAAGTTCCATCAATCTAAGCTTATTCTAATCTAATCTACTATCTTACACTTATTGCTGTTTAGTTCGGTTGCATTTGTAAGTGTTCTAGTGGAGATGTTTTTGGGAAAAGGAACCGGGATTGTTTCTTCTTCTGAGAGAACATCTTCTTTTTGAGGACAAAGGGATTGTGTAATCGTCCAGTTGTCGGACTTGTTTTTAAATTTTGTCTGTAACTGTTCTTATAGTGATTTGTTTAGTGGTTTGTGTTCCGTTCGGTCTTAAGCCTGTGTCCCATGCATCCGTTTATACGATCGTACGATGATACGAAAGTGTTTCTTTTTATTCGTACGACGAAGTACGAATTGGCAGATCTCCAACCAATAGAAACACTTTCGTATAAACGGATGCATGGGACACAGGCTTTATCCGTATGATAAATCAACGTTTTAAAGATTCTGCAATTTTTGATTTGCCGTTCTGCGTTCGTATTTAAAGTGTTCATCAGCCTCAATATACAGGGTGGCTGATTGAAGTATCCCCTAACTTAACTGGCCTTTAACCACTGTTTTATGACTGCCGATCATGTTTTTGGGTCATGGATTCAAAGTTAATGAGACAATCTGTCGTAAAAAAAATTAGAAAGCCCTGGGTAAACAAGCATTTTGGCCGAAAGCGCGCGTCAACCAAGAACTCAACCCAATTCTCCAGATGCGAACCCGATGGATTTATCTTTCTGGCGAACTGTGAAGGCAAAGCTTTGCAAAAAAATTGAGAAAGCTTGAAGGCTCAAGAAAACACTGGGGCGATCAAATTGAAAATATTTAAACGCAATTTAGTAAGTTATTTGCATTTTTTTCTTTTGACGTAAATAAAATGATAAAGAAACAAAAAAACACAGGCTTAATCATGGGACACTTCAAATCAGCCCGGCTGTAAAATCAGGTAGAGAATTTCAGAAAAAGTGGTTTTTCAAAGTAAAAACGTTTCACTTTCTTCGAGTCGTGTTTAAATTAATTCAATCGGCGTTTGAAGTAAATCACCTTTTCTCTGGTCAAATCCGCATGTTTGAGGGTTGCACTTGACCAGAATTTCTTGGCCCTCCAAGACCACCAGCCATGCATACTGGCTTCTACTTAACACTGTAAACATGCAATGAAAATTTTAAATTTGCTTACCGGGCAACATTAAACGTTTCCCCTTTTGAATCAGCACGAGAATGCGACCGCACGACGGCCCCAAATGCAGTTCTGAACAAACAAAAGCAACATAAACCCGAAAAAAACACACAGAACGCATCCTTTCAATACTTACGCGTTTTTCGCTTGTTCTGTTTGGTCAAGTGGTTGATTTTTTCGAATACCTCGCGAGCGCCGTCAATTTTCTTGGCCCATGTGTTGCACTCGTGCACAGTCGCAGCCAGCAGATATATTTTGTAGCCGGTTTTTTCATCCTGGATTTTCACCACCCTGTTCGAATCGGTGCCATGCTCCACGGAGTCTGAGCTTTCCCTGCTGGCCGTCAGGTTCTGAACCAAAATCGGCTGAAATTCAAACAATAATTCCTTCCCTTCTAATAATCAAATGGCAACGCACTTGCTTGTACATTTTGTAGGTGATATTGGTGTTTTTCTGGAAATAAAACTGGCCAATGTTGCTTTTGCTCGGCTGGACAAGCATCAGGAAGTCATTGAACAAAAACCCCAATAGTTCTTTGCCAGTTTTCAGCTTTGTAAAGCTACTGAAATGCAGGAGTTGTCTAGGCCCCAGTTTATTCGTGTTGCTGTTGAATACCAGATTTAGGTCGTTTTGGACGCATTGTTGCAACCAGGCCATTCTCTCTTCGTTTTCCTTCAGTCGAATATTTTCGTTGACGCAACTCAGGAACTTTTCAGATATCCGTAGGGCTTCTTCCAAAAGTCTGAAATCTAATAGAAGGCATTAATCAGGGCAACATGAGCAGATTGCTGTGTGTCTACCTGGTTGATTTTGCGGGGTGTTTTCGATGATCTTGCTGATTAGTAGAGGGTATTTGGTGATTCGTTGCATGGGTTTGATTAAAAATGAGGATAGTGGCATTCCTTTGGTCATGTAGTTGTTTTGGCATTTTCTGACCAGCTCCCGGAATGCTGTATTGGTTTCGGTCAGTTCCTGAAGTAAGCTGGCGCTATCAAGTTGCTTTGCACAGAATGTGATGTATCCAGTCATCCTCGGCAACTAAGGGTGCATGTGCTTAACACACTGAATGTTGAGTTCGAGTAGAAACACTTACGTGCTGGCAAATTATATTTCCAATCGTTTCAGTCCGAGCATTGAACGCTTGGGTCAGCTCGGTTAGAAAAATCTGATTGCAATGAAGAATATCCTGCCAGTTGACAAGAATTTGGTCAATTTGATCGCTGGGGATTATTTTACTTTTCCTTAGGGGCAGCTCAAAAACCTCATGGACAATAGACATATCCTGCACGTACGCCTTCTCGGTTTCAATCAATTCATTTATTGCACCCTGCCGCTTTTTGTCTCCCACTGGCACTGCGTGGGAACAAACGAATTTAGGGGTTTGTCAATGGCCACAGAAAATAATTGTCCATTAATATAGTCTTTATTGCCTAACTAGATTTGCGCCTAAATTGTATAAATTGATATAGCATGAGTATCTTTCATAATCAGTAACAATAACAAAGTGCTAAACGATTAGTTCAGTAGGGTGGTGAATATTTGGGAAAAACTACTCAATAAAAGTAATGCAAAAGTGCAAAAACCAATTCTTACCCGTCACACCCACCCTACCAAACTCCACATTGAATTAAAACGACCGGTATAAAAAGAACAAACATAAAACCCTCTAAAATCACACACATAAAAACAATTGTTTCAATTATCCAAAAGAAACAGATCACAATAGTAGAATGACTTATAGCAGTTGATAGTTGCTTTACCGGGAATTACGTGGAAGTGTCCATTTCACAGCTGAAAAGGAGTTTTTTTAAAGGTTTGCCAGCATTTTTTTCTGGGATAAACAATCGTTTGCAGGAAATTTTACACGATTTTTTTGGTACTAGCTTTTGTAGTAACGCTGTGAAATGCACTGAATTACCTTAAGAGTACAAAGCATATCAAAAGAGCAACAGAAAAATGCACATTCTATTCTTAAATTTTATTTAAAAATTGAAGAATATTATGATCGTCTGCAGTTTATGTTCTTGAGATTTTACGTATTATTTTTCTAATACTCTTGTTGATAGAGCTTTGTTAACAAAGAACATCAGCAATCAAGCGCCGAGAAGAACAACAATTACGTCTAGTGCCTCAGAATAGTAAGTTTCTTATCAATACACCATGAGGAGAAACATATTCGGGATACGCCAATTACACTAAATAACTAAATTTTGGTTCTAGATCCGTAACTACACAGCGTTGTATGGTAGGATGGGTGCTAGTTCCTATAAAACAAAAGGAGCGAATATCAGCTACAATTTTACAGTTTTTTGCGTTGGAATTTCGTGCCTTGTGGTTTACCACATCGATTTGTTCATGTTGTAAATGAGATTTTATTTCAAGACTGAAATTATTTAAAAAGTTTCAAAGACCATTTGGCAGTTTTGGTAAGTTGATGCATTTTCCTAACGATGTTTTCCGTTTCCATTCTCTGATTAAACCAACAACTTCGAGGTAGAATGAGTCCCGTTCTCTATGAAATATTCATATTTGCCTGATTTTAAATGAAAAAACGCATAAACATTGCATCTTGCAGGATGCCTACGTCCGATACGGTTTCCTCAATTAAAATATAGCACTAAAAATCCAGCTTTAAGGTATAGGGTGTCCCAAGGATAGAGTAAAGCAAGTTTACGCTTAACCGCTATTTGTTGTTTCAAAATTCTCATTGTCATATTGTAAACCCACTAAACGGGCAAATGTATTCAACATATTCACAATTCCAAATCAAATTCATTCCTGGGTTTCAGTCATTTATTGTCTCTATTTATCAATGAAAATACGTTTTGGTGTATTTTTTCACCATCATCAGTTTTTATGTGTAGCGTTGTTGCTGCTTCAAGTTTTGGCATGCATTTTTTGCGCAGAAAATGCATGCCAAGGCTTAAAGACAATAAATGACTGAAACCCAGGAATGAATTTGATTTGGAATTGAAACACAGTCAGGAAAGTATATACCATATTCACAATAACAGAGTTCGTCTGAGAGCAACTGTTTTCTAATAGAACACCATCTAAATCGTGGGCGTAAAGCTAAAACTGACCAAGTCTAAAATACAAATTTTTGGTAGATGCACGTTTAAACCGAGCTGAAAATTACATGAGAATGCTTTTGGAACCTCTGCCATTAAAAACATATTTTAGTGCACCTATTTGTGTGGCCTTGCGGGACTTCGTCAGTTTTTAAAGACAAATATATAATTTTTTAAAATTACTTGCGACCATACGATCAACTCGTTCAATAGCAATAATCCGATTCTATTAACACGGAAAGTGCTATAAAAATTATTCAAATCCGTCGTCATTTTGTAATATTTGGATGCAAAATATTTGTCTTTGAACCTACAGCGCGGTCATAATAATCGTCCGAATTACCCTACTTTCAAACCGAAAAATCTCTATTTATATAAGAAACTATTGAGCAAAAAGATTTTCTTATCCTGAATAAAACAGTAACAATATACGGGGTGTGTCATTTAAAATAGTTAGAATACTAATAAAGTTAGAATATTAATAAAGTTTAGTCCTTTCTCCTGCAAAATTTCGAAAAATTTTGTGTGTAGACAGATAAATTTTCGCGAGCGCCCGCATGAATATGCGAATTTTCATCGTTAAAGCCGATAACTGCATATCTATCCAATTTTTGTACAAATTCGTAAAATAAAATACAGGGAATAGTTCTATTAGAAAAAAGTGCGCTGCAAATTTCCAGACGCACTCGGTATAAGTGTGAATACAATGGCAAAATGACGAGGAGGATTTTGAAACAAATCATACCCCTTAAGTGTAAACTTACTTTACTCTATTGTTGGCTAAAATCAGGCAAAAATGAATATTTTACTCGCTTCGCCAGTCCGATGTGAATAATTGCGCGCTTACGCTCAAAACATCCTGCCAAGAATACATCGACTTGCCAAATTGGATCATGATTAGAATACTACTTACATTGATTCTGTTGAAGCGGAGCAACGTAATTGCTGGGAAACAGCCCGGAAACACCATTTACTTCGCCTCTCCACCAAGCTTCCTCTTCTCGCGCAGTTACATTGATAATGTCGTCTTTCAGAAAGCTGAGTTCATCTGGATTATTGGCCGTGTACGGGTACAATGCCACCACTTTATCTGAAAACAAAAAACCCCGCCTTCAATATACTTCTAAGCTCGTAAGGGATTGTTTTCTATTTACCGATAATAACTTCTTGTTGCATCCTGGTAGTGGAAACCGGGGTGGATCTGCCGCTAATCTTGCCGCTGCTGTTCAAAATTTTCACGTAACTTGCCGGGAACCAACCCACTTGTCGCTTGCGGCCTTTGGCCTGTAGCTCGCCTTCCCACCATCCTGAATCCGTTTTTTTCCTAATCATGATCAATTGTCCTCTAGCCAGCGAAAGTTGCTCGGGACTGGTCGCCTGGTACGGTGCTATAACTGAGGCGATTTCCGGCTTCTTGCCTTTGACCACCTAATCACAAAATCGACCCATTAATTACTATTGAATAAAAGCAAACAGAACCCTCCCTCTAAGGTACTGGAAAGCCCACAAACCTGTGCATTAGACATCACAGAAGCATCAAACTGTTTCTCGGTGTGTTTGAGCTCGTTTATTTGGGACACTTCGTTGTTTATCTGCGACACTTCATTGTCGATCTGCGAGTTAGCGCTACTGAAGTTCTCGAGCGCGGAAGTGATTGCTGAGGCACTCACTCCAATCGGCATTTCAACGCTGGGTTCGTTTCGAGCGGTCGCGAAAGCGCTCACTTCTGACGAAGGTCGTGTAGTTAAGTTCTAAATGGGTTAATATAGGGTTGGTTAGGGCAGCACAGACAAAGCGCAAACGATTAATTGATTTTAACATAAAATTCATTTAGCAAAAACACCAAACGAACGCCCTCAGGTAAAACGTACATCGATTTTTTGGACGTAGTTGCTGGGAAAAATACCCAAGACGTCGTTGAGTTTCCCTGTCCACCAATCGCCGTCCTTCTTATACACTGCGATTGTATCCCCTGCGTTGAACGTTAAGTCCCCAGGCTCTTGCGACTGGTAAGGGTAGTTGGCGATGTAAAACTCCGGTTCGCCTTCAAGCTGGATGCCTGGAAAAAAATTGCACATCAATTTGGCAATTATTTAGGCGCTTTAAAAATTACCCGTCGTCAAAGTGGCCGGCGATTCAGGCACAACAGTGCTTGCAGAGTACTGGGCGTCTTGCCCATCTCCACTTATCTCCCTACAAAACATCAAATTTCACTGCTGCAACTGCACTTTTATTATGAATTAACGCACTCTGTTTTAATGGGTTCTACTTGGGGGGTGGCATCCTCAGGGATGCTAGCGGTTGCACTACCTCCTTTTATCCCGATCCCATCGAACGGTTCCACATACGATTCCGGGAACCATCCGGTGTGTCCTCCAATCTCTCCCGCCAGCCATCCAGGCTCCCCAGTTTGCTGCTCTGGTACCTGAAGTAACATATTTAGCCCACAGTTGCAAAACAAATGCAAGTCTTACATGGATAATATCTCCTGGTTGGAATGAAATTTCGTCACTATTTCGCGCACTAAACTCGTAGATTGCCTTGTATTTGTGCACGCCCGGTATATTTTCGATGTCTGCGGGCACTGAGTCATTCCAGGTGTTTTCAACTGGCCAACTTGAGGCAGTTGTGTCGTCGTTACCCCAAGCGTCTGTAGCTTTCCAGGCGTCACCGTAATGGGCCGATTTATTGGTACTCTTCAATTCCAGCACTTGCTGCTTCTTTTCTTCGTATCTAGATAAGTTAGAAATCGTAAGTTTACACCCCTGGTGAAACAAAAATTTGACTAAAAACTGGCGCTACTGGATCCGTGCATTACCTTGCATACAGCCCTTCGCAGTCCGTAATCAGCGTCTTCATTTCACCCTTCAGCTCCGTCAATTGGCTGTTGTTATTCTCGATGTCTGATAGCTTCGAGTCGATTTGCGTTTGGATGTCTGCCACTTTCTCGCGCAAGTTTTTGATGGTGACTTCCTTGTTTTCAAAGGACAGCTTCGTTTGCTCTGAGTCCTACACATCAAATAAACTAATCTTCGCAGGTCAGCTTCGTCCAGTCACCTACCTGGGTGTTAATTTTGTTTCGCGTGTCCAACTTTATTTTCTCTTGCGACAAGGACAGTAGTTTCGCATTCTGATCCTTTAGTTTGGTTTTGAGACGCGACATGTCCTGCATTTGGGCATCTCGAGTGCTCCGCATGCCATCAATAGTTGTTTTCACGTTGGACACTCCTGATACAACAAAGAAGTACAGATTTTTAAAACCCGCATTAAAAAAACTGTTGATTTACCGATTCTGGTATCGCATATTTTCTGAGACAGTTCCTTGACTTGGTCGTTCAATGAGGTCAATTCAATGGTCAAACTTTGGTTCTTTGCCTTCAATTTGAGAACAGTTTCCTGCTCTCTTTGCCGTTGCTGCTGCAGTTCTTGAAGCCGCTGTTTCTCCCATTCCAATTGCCTTTGTCGTTCCATCTCCCTTCTGGCTGCTTCTCGTTGCTCCGCCTGCCGCCTTCGTTCTGAAAGTCCTGTACTTAAAAAAGCACTAAGAAAAATATGCTTTAACTACCTTCTTCCATAAGCTTCTCCTTCTCTTGCTGCTCCCTCATGATCCGATCCAACTCCTCCAGTCGCTTTCTTTCGGCTTCCTGTCGTGCCTTCTCTTTCCTATCTTGCTCCTCTCGTTCCTTTCGCTCGCGCTCCTCTGCCTCTTTCCTCTGCTGATCCATCAAGGCTTTTCGTCGCCTTTCCAGCTCGGCTTGCCCTTTCTCGTAGTTTTCTTTGCGTTTATCTTCAAAAGAAGCTACAAACAATAACAGGGAATATAATCTTAGATCGAGTATACAGGGTGTCCCTCATTGCCCAACTCCATGGCCTGCAAGTTAGTGTGATGGAGTGAAACACCAGTCCAGAGTAAGTAAAACACATTCACAAATATGGAATGTATGTATGTATATGGAAAACGCGAGAGAAAAAAATCTATTAAAATGAAGTTTTGATGTGTAACCAAATTAATGCAAAATATGCAGAAAGATCAATAACATGTTTTTCGATCAACAGCCAATTTTTGTGCTTTTGCCTTCTACTTGAAGAAGATGCTTTAGTCATAAATCGTGCCTCTTCACAGAATCCTGTGTAATCATGGCATGCAACCGATTAAGAACCATAAAGTTCAAGCTTTAAAACCGACAGATTACCAACGTCGAGTGCAATTTAGTGAACAAATTGAAAAACGAATGAATGATTCCACAACCGTTAGAGATGGGTGTAGGAACGTAAGTAAGAAGTAATTTCATGTTTTCCGTCCCGTTTTGCATATTTCTCGGAAGCAACATGAGCAAGAAGGCTCATTTGTATATCATTCTAGACAGAAATAAATGACCCTTTTAGAAAGTGAACCATGGATGAGGAAATGTTGGCAGTTTTCTCAAAAAAGGCTAGAATTCAAGAAGTTTTAGATTTGCGTGGTTTTTTTTTGAGTTGCAAAATCCACTTGAACATGACGCTGCTTTTTTCGAACTTTCTCAAGAACCATTCGAGTCAGAGAATTCGTTTTGGGATCGTTGGATAGAGAATTGAATGGGGGGGTCATGACCCCCATGACCCCCCTCCCCCTTGGATCCGCCCTTGAAATCAGTTATAACTCGTTAACTCAGAGAGTAGCAACAACTCAATAGCGCAACTCAACACAGTGTTACCCAAGTGGAGAAAAACCTTTGGCTTCGCCGATGATCAAGCACTTGGGAGGTAAACTCGTGAAACTACAGAGAAGAGTGAAGATTCAATATTGGAAAAGATAGAACGATGTTTGCGAGATGAACACCCCATATAAACTGATAGACTTACTCTGTAGTAAAGTAGATGCCGGGTCTTGATCGGCATGAATCGTGCTGCCCTGACTGGAAATGGAAGCTGTTCTGGCGCTTCTTCTGAAAGATGGAGGAACCAAGTCCGGCGGTAGTTTGGTGGGGAGTGGCGTGCCTGCTAGGGCGGTTTCGCACAAATGCATGGCCAAAACGAACTCTTCGCACCCTAAACGTCCATCGGTGTCCATGTCACTTAAAGCCCTAAAGTCCAATTCCATTATCAACATTCGAAACTAAGTGACGCCGAATTACTGACCAGATTTGCGCCAGTAGCGCTTGAGGTAACTTGGTCTGTACCATAACGTTCCTAGCTTGAGCCCCGGAAAGAAATCCGCTCCGAGTCCTGTCCATCGTGTTGAACATTTGCGTGTATTTCAGTTTGATTTGCTGTGAGACTGACCATTCTACTCCCCTAAATTCCGCAGTTTACAACATGCTCACATTACGAAAATTCTCAACTTACATGCCAGAGTCGATTGATCCAGCCCGATCCAGACTGGTAACACTGGCTCTAGGAGTACTGGTGGCTCCAGGCCCGGCTAGAGGGAGAGCTGGAGTGCCCGAGGACCCAACAGAGCCTACTGGAGATAAAGGCCCAGCGGAATTCAGCGGAGCTTTAAAAAAATTAAGTGATCAAAGTGCTTTGTTGGAACCCTAACTGATCCTACCTGTTGCAATCATGGAAGGCTGTGGAACAGCAAATCCACCTACCGGCTGAGACCCCAACGGAGCTACATTGGTTGGCATTGGGGGCACAATTCCTGTTAACCCCGATTCAGTTTGCCGCTAATCACAGACTGTTTCAGTGCACTTACCCGTGGGTATCATAAATCCGGGGTTAGAAACCGAAACCCCCATCACATTGACTGGCTGCACAACCCCAGTGGGGGGCATTGGGGTCATATTGGGCAGCCCAGGAACTAGAGGCTGCATTAAGGGCTGGGTGCTGATGACACTAGGGGTGCTACTCAAAATCCGCTGTGAACCACTGATCATTGGCTGAGCAGTACCAACTACCGGTTGGACGAGTGTTACCTTGAAGACATTTTCAGTGAGATTTGAGTGGTTGCGCTCTGTACCACAACTACCTTTGGGGGTTCTGGACGCGCTGGCGGATGGTTGATCAACGCAGGGTTCGGTAACGGGGGAATGGCAGGTGGAGTCGAAGTGTTGTGGGGCTTAAGTGAGGCTAAAAGTGAGGGTGGCAGGCCTTTGGGAATCTCGAAACCCCTCAGTTTCAGATTGATCAGTTTGCATGCGATGGAAAACTCGCTGATGTCCATTTTGCCATCTGAGTCTGTGTCGGCCAAAGCCCTTAAACGTTATAAATAACAGCCTCTTATAGATAAAGACAAAACGATCCAAAGAGTCAACGAAGACGATAATATGTACATTTATCAATGTTCTGGAGATGATTCAAAATCGAACCGTTTTCCGCTTGCAGAGCTGGCTTTGCCCTACAAATGATGCAAAATTGATTCTCCTACTTTGCAAGTTCCTGGGAAAATAAGTGTGCAACTACAACCTGCTTAAATACCCGCAAAAACCAATTCCAGTTTTGGCAAATTCTTGAAAATTTCTTGGTGATGACCGAAAATCGAAACTTTTGACACGTGTAAAAGGCTGTACCCTACAAAATGTAGCCGAAATTTATTATCTGACTTTGCAAGTTACAGAGTAAATAAATGCTAAGCTCCAGCCTGCAAAAACTACCAGGAGAACCAGACGCGATAGCGAAAAAATCTTGAAAAAAAAATTTTCACACTTGCAGAGGATACTTTACTCTACAAGATGCAGCTGAAATTTATTATCTGACTTTGCAAGTTACAGAGGAAATAAATGCTAAAGTCCAGCCTGTAAAAACTACCAGGAAAACCAGACGCAATTGCGAAAAAATCTTGAAAATTTCCTGATGATGACAGAAAATCGAAGCTTTTCACATTTGCAGAGGAGACTTTGCCCTACAAAATGCAGACGAAATTTATTGTCTGACTTTGCAAGTTACAGAGGAAATAAATGCTAAAGTCCAGCCTGTAAAAACTACCAGGAAAACCAGAGGTGATTGCGAAAAAATCTTGGAAATTTCCTGATGATGACAGAAAGTCGAAGCTTTTCACACTTGCATAGGAGACTTTGCTCTACAAAATGCAGCCGAAATTTATTATCTGACTTTGCAAGTTACAGAGGAAATCAATGCTAAGCTCCAGAGTGCAAAAACTACCAGGAAAACCAGAGGCAATTGCGAAAAAATCTTGAAAATTTCCTGATGATGACAGAAAGTCGAAGCTTTTCACACTTGCAGAGGAGACTTTGCCCTACAAGATGTAGCTGAAATTTATTATCTGACTTTGCAAGTTACAGAGGAAATAAATGCTAAAGTCCAGCCTGTAAAAACTACCAGGAAAACCAGACGCAACTGTGAAAAATTCCTGCAAACTTCCTTATTAATGTAGAAAATCGAAACTTCACACTTGTAAAGCAGACTTTACACTGTTTTTTGTTTGTTTGCAAGTTACAGAGGAAAAATACTTGCAATGCTGTTGTCTTCTGCTGAATGTCCATCAAATAGTAACCCCAGCGTATGCAAAGAACTGTTTTTCGTTAAATTTAACCCATTTAAAGCAAGGAAGCACTTACCAAATCTGGCCAAGTACCAAAGGTGGAAGTTGGCTCTGCAAAAAGAACCCTTTGGCTTGTTCACCTGTAACCACCCCATTGTTGGGTTTTAAGGACCTGAACTGTTCTTCGTATCTCGCCTTTTCCCTTGCGACGATAACCCAGGGGTCGGTGGATGGGGTGCCAGCAGCAGACATAACTGGAGGAGAAATAAGGGGTTCCAGTGATGACCTAGATGATCATAGGGCTCGAATTGATCGGCTAGTCAAAGTGGGTTGCCATTTTACCTGTCTTTTCTCTTACTTCCTTTGAGTTCTTAGGGCTTTCTGGGCATATTTATTCATTCTACTCGTTTAAAACCTGCTTTTTACACGTTTGTGCTACCAAAGCAACTCCCCTGCATCCACCCCTTGAAACAATCAGTCAGAAAATCAATATCAATAGTACACTGTGCAAGGGAGCTGGGTTCTTTTACTTGTTTACCCAAGGGCTATTTTCGCCTGTCGCCAATTGACATCTGGAATGATGTGAGGCGGTGGAAAAGGGACAGCTATCGAATGCAGTAGGTTGAAAAGAGGCAACCTAGGCCAGGCGGGTATAGGAGGGGAAGTTAACGTGCAGGACGTGTATTTGCAGTTGCCTGTTTTCAGGACTGCGGGAGTCTATTTTTACAAATATATTATTACGAAAATAAATATTTCGTACTCTCATTTGCATGCGACAAAAACCAGTTTTGTTAGCTGCAAAAATTCACAATTTCTCGGTTATTCGTTTAACTCAAACGGCAATCGTCTGTTTTCGATAAGGCGGAGCTTGGGGTTGTAACAAATCAAAATGCCGCATATCAGTCTTGGCGTTTCCTCTTTTGTAGTCTAAACTCTCTCCTGTGAGTGCTTGTGTCTTGTATATTATCGACTAGAAGACGTCGACGACCACGCACGTAAGTCGCATATATTTCCAATTTTCCACTCATTTGTTTTGTAAACAATGTCAGTGTGTATTTAATCGCAGTAGCAGTACAGGGTGTTTTCAAAACTACAAATAGTCCAAAGGACTATTTGAAGTTTTCCCATTTTTACCGTTCCAACCCTCTAAAAATGCTGGTGTTTTTTCAAAAACAAATTATATTTTTAGTTGCTTTTTTCGGCTTATTTCGTTTTTTTTTTCATATAATTTTTTTTTCCGATCGTCTCACTGAAAACCTCCTCGCTTCTAATAAAATTTTAATTATAAAATCCCAGTCCAGTAATTATTGCCGCAAAGAGCAAACTTTCGTTTACTCGGCGGTTTGGGCTGATTTTTACAAGTTCAAAAATCCATTTACCTACATTTTGCGTTAACTTGCGAGGTAACTCGCATTGACCTAAAAATGTGTTGATATGGAATATTTAAATACCTATTTACTTAACTTGATATTAGGCTGTAAATGTGGACTGGGATTTTATAATTAAAAATGTGGACTGGGATTTTATAATTAAAAATCAATTAGAAGCGAGGAGGTTTTCAATGAGACACTCGGGAAAAACAATTTTTTTTTTTTAATTAAGAAATTGTCGCGGGGCGGCAGGGAAATTTAGTCGCAAAAGTCATTAGACTCACTTTAAATACTACTGAAAATTCAGTCCGAACTAGCGTAATAAATATTCAAAATACGGACATTTTTAGTCGCAAAGGCAAAAACGATCAGATTTAAGTTAAATTACGAGCAATTGCGGCTCACCCTTAGTCAAATAAACTCTTCCGAACTTCCCTTAAATATACTTCGCAAGCACTCGAATAAGTCTTTTATTCTCCCTGAATTTAACAGATAAAAGGCCTTTGAAAGGTTAAAATCACGCATTCCACTATGGATTTATTAGCTAGATAATGAGGGAGATGACATCCTTTTAGATGCATTAGATGTGTTGCTTAAGCCCGCTTTGACCTTAGATTGTTTGCTTTGTACTTACACACATTACAAGTCCCATTGTAATCAACATGATAAAAGACGTTGAATTAGCCAGTTCAAGTGGAATTGTAAAAAATTCAAATTTAACTGGCAATTTCCTGCAAAAACGGTTCGCCTGCCCACACCAGATTCAACAGTAAAATCGTGTTTATTGGTTTATTAAGGGACTGTGGCGATTTGGAACATGGGCTACGACGATGTTATATCGATGCTGGGCGACTTCGGAAGATATCAGAAGAGGATCTATTTTTTGCTGTGTCTTCCTGCCATTCTATGTGCCTTCCACAAGCTGGGAAATGTATTTTTAATAGCCGAACCGCCTTCCAGGTAAGCAAGCAAACTGATAAAATACACTTTATGTTTACAAATCGACAGTACCTACCTACATCGTATAAAAATTAATTACAGTAATGTGGGCATCCCTAAATGGAATAATGGAATTCTTCTGTAGCAGAAGTCACAGTCTTTAAATTATTGAGTTAACTTAATTGATAAGAAACCCGTTTTGGCCTCAGTAATAAGATTTGCTAACTAAACGTGGGTCGCACTTCGGCAGATAAATGATACATCTGCAACATGTACGCTTTGGTAAGCAGCTCCTTATGATACAGCTGCTGGACTTGGAAGCTTCAAAAGAAAACAGCGTTTTACACGATTTTAGTCAACATTTCAATCTTACCCCGCTCTGTCGAATAGTTGTCTGGCCCCTTGATTGTACTCGGACATCGCGAGTTCCAATCGATTTATCTGATGATTTCTACACCAATCCCGCGCTGTATTTATTAAGTTGAATGCGACGCCTTTTCTTCGATATCTTCCGTATAAGAGATTTATTAAATGGCAATTATCGGTTGGGTTCGTCGCTTTTTCTCACCTTTCGTCAGTCACAACTCGAAACAACCAGGCCCAATCAGGATTTTGAAAGTGGCGCATTACAGCCACTGTTCCTATAATCTGGAATATATATAAGTTAATTTCCTTAATTGTTTTATTCGGTTAAATTTTGATGGAAAAAGTCTTAATTTGAATCGTTCTCAAAATTAACCAAACTTTGAGGACACACAAGGTGGTTTTGCTCTATTTATTGACGCGAAAACGCTTTTCATCCCAACTAGTTGGGGCGCAAAAAGTTTTTAAAAAACGACAGCGAAATTTAGTGGCAAAAACTGAAAGGCTAATTTTGAATTGTTCTGAAAATTCGACCTAAAACCTCCAAAGAAACGGAACTCTAAAAAAACACAAAGTAAGTTTTGCTCTATTTACTGTCGCCAAAACGACTTTCTTAAAATCTTAACTGGTTTGGACAAAATAAATTTTCGAGAAATGGCGTGTACATTTTGTCGCAAAAACATCGCAAGTCTCACTTTAAATATTTCTCAAAATTCAGCCCAAACCTCCGTGCAAACGAGGCTTTGAAGAAACCTAGAGTGAAGTTTACTCTATTTGCTATTGCAAAAAGCGTCTTTGACTCTTAAACTGGTTTGGACGTAATAAACATCTGAGCAAACGAAGCTTTAAGAAAACGTAGAAGTGGACTTTATTTATTACCACAAAAAGAAGCATTTCAATCTCAGCTGGTTTGATAAAGAACATCAATAAACAAGGCAATAAATTTTCAAAAAATAGCTTGTAAACTTAGTCGCAATCATTGCAAGTCTTACTTGGAATCGTCCTCAAAATTCAACTCAAGCCTCTAAGAAAATCAAGCTTTGAGCAAACATAGAGTGAAGTCTGTGTTATTTATTAAAAGCCCAATGAATCAACATCCACAACAGAATAATAAAAGGAAGTAGTTTTACCATTCATATCATTATTTACTTGAAAACAGTTAAAGATGAAGTTGAAAAAACCATAAATTACTGATAGCTGACGAATTTCTTAATGCTCCGACTTCCATTCAGGAATCTCTCAAGTATCCTGGTATGAAAACATGACCTAGATGCGATAAAGACGATTTATCAAAGACCCCAATTTCGTCATAAGCATCATTTTGCAGCAGTGGTCAATAAATTATTTCAGCAAAAATGCTTCCACTCGCCGCTTTAACGTACTTGCTCTTATTGGTGCCCACAAATCGGGCATTTTCTTGCTTCAACTTTGTGACTCTCACGGTGTTTCGCGAGAACTTCAAACTGGTTTTACAACGGGCGGATACCGTGGAAAACGAGCCGCTTGGCACGGAGATTGTGGTGGAAAATCAGCACGTTCCTTTGCTGCAAACCGGGTGTTTTAAAAACTTGTCGAAGCTGCGGTACATTAAAGTGGTTCAGTGTGGACTTGAGGAGATTGAACCCAGTGCCTTCTACAATCTGCCCAAACTCAGGACGATCGATCTGGGATTTAACAATCTCAAAGAGATAATAAATGGCATATTTCACTCCCTGGCTATAGTCAAGTTGTCGCTGAAAGCAAATGCAATCGAAACCATTCGAGAGCATGCCTTTTACAACTTAACGTTGCTGGAAAGTTTGGATCTGAGCAGCAACAAGCTACATTATTTAAGTCCGGAGATGTTTTTCCGAACATACCAAATCAGCAGGCTGGATTGCAGCCACAACGATCTGCAACAAGTGGACGAGTTGTTTTTTTGGGACATATTCGGCTCCAATCGGGACGACGTTTCATCTCTAATTGACTTGAGCTTTAACAATCTGAGCACAATTGAGCGAGACACTTTTAAAGGAGTCTTTTATATAAACTCATTGTTACTGCATCACAATAGCATTAAAGAGATTAATAGTGAGGCCTTTCATGGCCTCAAATCAGGCGTCAGTCTAGATGTGAGATACAATAAACTAGATGGGTTGGATGATATAGAACTTCTGAGACTCGCTGCTGGAAAGTTCGAGGATATCCTTGACGACTGGGACCAGTATACCGAAGACTTACTCATTGGCATTGAAAACCTTTAAAAAATAACAATAAAAATCCGTACCTGTTTTCTACCTTGTGGTTTCTCTTTCATGTCTTCCAGTTGCTGGTCATCAATGATTTTGTAGCGAGATTTCTGATCAGTGGCTTGAAAAAACGGTTCGTACACTTCAGCCACCCAAGAAATGATCGGCTTTTTCTCATACATTACTTGGGCCGACTTCATAGTGACTGCCCCATATATGCAAACGTATATTAACAGCAGGATCAAGGGGACAGTTAAAAAGCAGACAAAAAGCCTGATTTGAAAAAATATGAATTCCAAGGCTATGAAAATCATGGTGATTTGAAAGGTCACCTGAAAATAACACTCTCAGTTAACTAAGTGGAACGGCAATAGTTAAATAGTGTTTTAAGTGGACTTACTTCGTTAAAAACATAACCCAAAAACATATTGGAAATATTCGAAGCATAAGCGTTGCGGACCAGTTCGGACACTTGCGGCGTATCATTGTCTCTTTGTTTTCTAATTACTATTAAATGCATTGTAGATTCCTTATGCATGTTGAATGCAAAAAAGGTTTTGCCTGAAACAACCACTGTTGATGTTTGAGATTGACAACCATAGATCATAGATGAAGACAAGTTTGATTGACAATCAGCTGGCAGCAGCGTTGCCAATGGGGTTGTTTTTCGTTTGTTTTTTTTGTTAGATTTTTTTTGAGTTTAGTACTAGTAAATACCATAGTAGAATGTGCATGAATAAAATTTTTACAAAGTGTGTAGTTGATATTTTTTAGCGAGTAATCGTTTTCATTAAGCAATTCTTTCTACGTAAAAATCGTATTATTATTATTATCATTATAAATTATTTAGTTAGAATACACCTTAAGGTATTTTCTGTGAAAAATTATAAGCTAGATTTTATTGAAAAAATTAGATTTTTGGAAAAATTTTTGCAGCCTCGAATTATGGACAAAACCCTAATAATTAATTCTGGGTCTTTTCCCAAAAATATTTCCCCGAACTGAAAAAGCGAAAGTTTATAATGATTTATTTGGAAAACTCCTCGAAACTGGGGTTTCTTCACTTTTTCTGTTTCTGGGGCACTAAACAGAAAAACCGGGGGTTTCCCTAACGTTTTACTGTAAAATACTGCAAACTGAATCTTTTATGCAAAAAATTAAGAGATCGATTCAATTTAGTTAATTTTACGTTTAATTTTTCCTAAAAACAGAACCTGCTAAATTCTTGCTTCGCCGCACTTTTTAATTGAAAAACAATAAATTGCGGCAACTAAAGGAAACTTTCTACTAGATGTAAATTGCCGTACGAACTCGCAAATGCCTCCTACCATATCAACGACACTGAAATGGAAAAGTGGTATTCCTTCAACAAGACGAGAGACAAAAGCTTCCACTCTTGTCTCATAAACGCACCAAATTCCACCATTCCTCAACCATGTGATGAATACATTTACGACCTCAAAGCCTACGGATACACGGCTGTTATAGACGTGAGAAACCAGGTTTTTGGGTAATTGGCCCTTATTTATGGATTTTTTTCGGATTTTAGTGGAACTTGACATGTGATAAAGCGTATTTAATAGCCATAGGTAATTCCCTGTTTATGTTTGGCGTGATGTTCGGATCGATCGCTTTTGGAGAATTGTCCGACAGGTAAAAGACCACCCTTCTGTTTTTCACCCGATTAAATGCGGATTTTTTAACAGATGGGGCAGGAAAAACACGTTCTTTCTATCCCTGGTCATGCAGGTGGTGTTTGGGGTGGTAGCCTCTGTCGCCCCAGAGTTTTGGACCTTTACTATAGCTAGAGCTGTGGTTGGAGCTACCACTTCTGGAGTTTTCCTAGTAGCTTATGTAATAGGTATGACCGAACTGAACATCCGCTTCAAATGAGATCTTTTCCTATTTGCCCAATTAGGCTTGGAGATGGTTGGCTCCTCTAAGCGGATGATCGCCGGGACGGTTTGCCAGATATTTTTCTCCGTTGGCTACATGTTGACTGCAGTATTTGCCATCTACATACCGAACTGGAGGTCGTTGCAATTCGCTTTAACTATTCCAGGCCTCGTCTTTTTAACCTACTGGTGGTAAGCTGGTGGAAAGTTGCATTGTTAAGCAAAAACGCATTAATTTCGTGTGTGTCAGGTTGATTCCTGAATCGGCCCGATGGCTGATCAGCAACAACAGGCTGGAGGAGGCGAAAAAGAACATCCAAGTTGCAGCCAAGTGCAACAAAGTTCAAATTCCAGATAAAACATTGGATGAGCTGCTTCGTCCATCGAGCGACAGTCCGCGAAAGGTTGCCGGTGAAAAACAGCCGAATATTTTGGATATTTTCAAATATCCCCGACTGAGGAAGCGATCATTGATTATATTCTTCGATTGGTAGATGCATTGACGGGCAATGCGAACCCGCTCTAGCTCTAGATGTTTTCAGGTTTGCCAACAACATCACTTATTACGGACTGTCTTGGAATACAAACAATCTGGGCGGTAATCCGTATTTGAATTTCGTTATTTCGGGCGCTGTGGAAATTCCTGCATACGCTTTTTTGATTTTCACATTGAACAGATGGGGACGAAAGAATATTATGTCTGGGTGTATGATCACTGCAGGCACAGCGTTGCTTTTAACGATGATTGTTCCTCAAGGTACAACTATTTTTTCCATTGCTACATTTGATCAAAATTGTGTTAAATTTTTACCACTTTTAACTGCTGAACAGGGTGTCCCAACGATGGAGTAAAGTAACGGTACTGAATGAGCTGTTTTAAAAATATTCACAATTATACAAAGTAAATTTGCAAAACAAACAAGAGAAAATTTGCAGCGCATTCAACACCTTTTTTTCTACTAAAACACCCTACATTTTTAGTTATTTTTTATTTATCGTTGAGAGCGATTTGACTTCCGATTGAACTGTTATTTCGTTCACCTCCTTTCCGGTTAGTGCGTGTTTTTCAAAAGAAATACTGCTTCAGATAGGGTTCCTACAGGGTGGCAAATGAAACGATGCCAAATTAGTGAAAGTTGCGCGTGCTTTCTGTTGGACGAAAAAAACATTTTTTTGTATTTTATCGCCACAACCATTAAGATAGACCTCAAATATCGAGAAACGTTTTTGAATTCTTTGCCCATCTCGTTCATTTACAGCGTGGTCTCAAAAAATCGCCTTTTGGCCTTGCAGTCAGAAACTTTTTCTCTTAACCGATTTTCAAAATCTAAGGCTCATCTTAAAGCTAAAACTGCACAGTTTAATTGAGGGAAAACTTCAATATCTAGTGAGTTGCATAAATGAACGAAATATTTGAAAGTAAACTTTTCTGATTTGGGATTTTTTTGTGCATCTCTGTATAGTGAATTTTCGTCCTAAATACCCATTTAGGGCGATGTTGAAGCTTCAACATGAGCTCTGGATCGTGAAAATCTGACCAAGAAAATAAGAGTTATCGCTGCAAACTAAAAAGATGATTTTTTGAGGCCACCCTGTAATTTGAAAAGATCGCCGAAAAATTCCAACATCGTTACGAGCTATTTGGTTTACCTTTAAACTTTAGGTGTTGAAATCCAAAAACCCTTACTATTTTTTACGTACAACTAATTTTTTCTATTGCTACATTTGATCAAAATGGTGTTAAATTTTTACCACTTTTAACTGCTGAACAGGGTGTCCCAACGATAGAGTAAAGTAACGGTACTGAATGAGCATGTTTTAAAAATATTCACAATAATACAAAGTGAATTTGCAAAACAAACAAGAGAAAATTTGCAGAGCATTCAACACCTTTTTTTCTACTAAAACACCCTACATTTTTAGTTATTTTTTATTTATTGTTGAGAGCCATTTGACTTCCGATTGAAGTGTTATTTAGTTCACTTCCTTTCCGGTTAGTGCGTGTTTTTCGAAAAAAATACTGTTTCAGATAGGGTTCCTACAGGGTGGCAAATAAAACGATGCCAAATTAGTAAAAGTTGCGCGTGCTATCAGTTGGACAAAAAAACATTTTTTTGTATTTTATCGCCATAACCATTAAAATATACCTCAAATATCGAGAAACGTTTTTGAATTCTTTGCCCATCCCGTTCATTTACAGCGTGGTCTCAAAAAATCGCCTTTTGGTCTTGTAGTAAGAAGCTTTTTCTCTTAACCAGTTTTCAAAATCTGAGGCTCATCTTAAAGCTAAAACTGCACAGTTTAATTGAGGGATAACTTCAATATCTAGCGAGTTGCATAAATGAACGAAATATTTGAAAGTAAACTTTTCTGATTTGGGATTTTTTTGTGCATCTCTGTATAGTGAATTTTCGTCCTAAATACCCATTTAGGGCGATGTTGAAGCTTCAACATGAGCTCTGGATCGTGAAAATCTGACCAAGAACATAAGAGTTATCGCTGCAAACTAAAAAGATGATTTTTTGAGGCCACCCTGTAATTCGAAAAGATCGCCGAAAAAGTCCAACACCGTGTCGAGCTATTTGGTTTACCTTTAAACTTTAGGTGGTAAAATCCAAAAACCCTTTTTCTTTTCGAACAAGTGGCATGCCGAACTTTGCAAATTTTACATTTTTCCAGTTGCCGCCCTGTATAAAATTTGTCTGTTAGGCTTAATTTTTACCAAATCATTCAATGACAGGAAAAAAATGGGGCTCAATAATGCTTCAAAGGGAAACCAAATCGTTCCAAGCAATCAGAATTCATCCAGTTTTAAAGTTGGGGCAAATTTGGCTGTGTAACGTTCTGTTGTTGAGCAGTTTAATTTTTGAAAATTCGTTAAATTGAACGAATATTCTGACCACCCTGTAGTTTGAAAGAGAAATATTTTGCAAGAAATTGAAATTTCCATCAGAATCAAAAAATAAAATAAAATATATAGTGTTCGATTGGAAAAAGAGCAACTTTTCAGACACACTCTGTTTAATTGTGAATAAAAAATTGCGTTTTTGCGAGTCAGTCGATTATCTAGGTACATAAATACAGTTGAAAAGTGCGTTTGTGGATTGGCCTTAGAAAACTCTTGGATTCTGCACGAAAAAATGCATCCTCAATTTCAGATCTTCAATGGTTGAATATCACTTTGGCCATGATAGGAAAGTTGGCTATAACTGCGAGTTATGGGGCAGTTTACGTGTTTTCCACCGAACAATTTCCCACTGTGGTGCGAAATGCTGGTTTAGGGGCAGGCTCTATGTGTGCCCGTGTTGGATCAGTTACAGCACCATACGTTAATATAATGGTAGGAAAAAATCTCTAAAATTCGCTTCTTTCAATATATAGTGTTCACATAATAACACCTACAAACTCTTATGCATATGTGGCAAAGTCGGTTATTTTAATGTTCGCCCGGTATATTCCAGACACACATATGGAAGCCTCTTCCCTTGCTAATATTCGGAGCTTTGGCCTTTATTGGCGGCTTAATGTCGCTTACTTTACCGGAAACTTTGAACCGAAAGTTGCCGGAAAGTTTCGAAGAAGGTGAATCGTTTGGAAAGTAAGTTTCCAGAATGCTTATTTAGGATCAGGGTAACACTAGTTTGCTACCAGGAGGACGAAAGAAGCCGCTTCTACTCTGGAAGGAGTTAAGCTTGAAACGATAGCAAACAACCAAGGAAACGGTGTGGAATCAGAGCTGCTTAAACTGAAGCCAGACGACGTCTAATGTGGGTTCAGGTAATCAGAATCGCAGCCAAAAACGTATTTTATTATTGACCATTTTGATATTATGATCTGTTCACGTTCAAATTGTAGATAATAGTTAGACATACTCGAATGCCATTTATTTGTAGGAAGCAACGATTTTTCTCGATTTTTTGTGCTATCTTAACAAAACATTTCAGGTTTCTGAAGAAAGAAAATGAAAGTGGGGACAGTTTTCCATGCAACTTTGTTTGTGTATGATTTACAGGGTGGTCCGCCACTAAATTGACAAAATTTACACACAATGTTTAGGCAAAATATTGAGTTTCAGACAAACTTGTCCTATCAGAAAGTTGATAGTTTCCGGTGTACAGGGAGTCAAAGTGCAAAAAATGTTTTTTATGGATTCTTGTCCAGTTTTGCTTTTATAAAAAAATGTGTTTAGGGGCTTTTTCCATTGAGGAATCTAAATTTCCTATTCCTTGAGTTGCAGTTTATTCAGGAAAATTTTGGGTTTTTGATGATAAATTACCAGAGGTTTCAATGTGAAATATTGCGAAAACGGTGAGAGATCGGCTGGAACCAAACACACAATTTTTCTATCAAGCAAACCCTCAAACTTTCAAGTTGCTGCTTGATCTGGGTTGAAAGTTGCTCATTTTCAGTCCAAAATTTACTTGGCTGCCAAAATTTGCATTTGAAGAGATTTCATCAAAACTCATCACCATTTACGGATTCAAATGCCCTTTATAGATGATCAAAACTTCAACTTGCTGCTTCATACGGGTTAAAAGCTACTAATTTTTAAAACAATGCGCTTACATAATCAGGCACTCACTTTCCGACAAGCATTAACTTGGCTTGTAAAAATCAGAATTCGACGCGATTTCACTGAAACTTTGAAGACTTTGAGAATCACGTGTCTTGTGTGGAAGTTAGAAAGTTCAGGTTTCTGCTTGATCTGGGTTGGAAGTTACTAATTTAAAAAATGGAGTCAAATGAAAGGAGCCAATTATTTCAGACCAAAACTCACTTAGTTGCCAAAAATCAGCATTTTGTGCGATTTGCCTCAACAGCCTCCAATGTCTTCTATGAATCGTGAACATTTCAATTTGCTACCGGATGTGGGTTGGAAGTTACGAATTTCTCAGCGAGCGGGTTAATATATGAAGATTCAGGTGCCGTTAGGTCAGAGTTTCAAGTTGCTACTTAATCTGCTAAAAATGCGATAGTTGCAAACCCCAAAAAATGAAGTAAAACTGATTAAAAACAAAATTTGGCAAAAACCAAAAAAACATGGCAAAAACCAAAATTTTATTTACACTTTGACATCCTGTACCTCGGAAACTATTAACTTTTGGATAAGACAAATTTGCCTCAACGGCAATATTTTTGCCCAAACATTTTTCCTGTGAGTTTTGTCACCCTGTATGATTCTGGCATTATGTAATACAAGTGATTTGTTTAGCGACTAATTTTATTTTGTATACAAAACACGGAAAACTGTTCGTTTTGCAATTACATGGGCTGAAGATCTTGGAAAGGTGACCTTTCCCTAATTGTTTTCCATTTTTCCTGGAAAGACTGGCGAAAATCCTTTCTGAATAAGGCTTTTACAAATATACTATATTCTCAAAAGAGATAGACTTTCGAGGCCATTCCTTGAAACTAATGGGTTTTTCGGGTTTTTAGACCGTCGTTCGGTAGAATTTCTTCCTGACGTTTCGCAAGCACGAGTGGCTTGCATCTTCAGAAGTGGTTTGCTTGAACAGTGTAAGCGTTAAGAAATTCTACCGAACGACGGCCTAAAAACCCGAAAAACCCATTAGTTTCATACTTTATACTTTCCCACATGCGGCCACTTGCAGTTTATTCACCCTAAACGTGATCGACTATTCTTCACATGACTCATTTACGAGGAGTCCGAAGAGAGAATACGGACATATGAAAATACAGGTTCGATTCAAAATCGAGTTTTTTTGTTAATCTTTTTTCTTCATGTAAAATACTGTGTGTATGATGGAGATCTTACTTCTTAGTCGGTTTTAAAAAGACGAGAAAATACATTTAATGGTTTTGAATGGAAAATATGTTTGTATTAAGTTGACTGCTATTTATAATGGCGATAAAACAAGTTATGTTACAAAAAACCATTGAATCATTCATTATGTGGAATAAGGATAAATACCGTATTGCATTTATCTGATTTTATATAAAAAAATATATTTAAAAATAGATTTTTTTAGTACGAAACTGGTTGTTGTTTTTCCAGGCTTGCATGCAAACCGCGTGAATTTCCTTTACTACTTTTTATTTTCTGTAAAAATTGATAGGTTTATAAGATAAACAGGGTGATTTACGTAGACGGTGCATTAGAGGTTTTCCAACTTTTTCCTCCTGTTTAGTTTGCATTCTTATTATTTAATGGCAAAATGTTCAAACACGAGCAAATTTATTTTAATAGTGATTTGGAGTTTCCAATATCTTCTAAGCTAGTTTTACTGGCTCCCCTTGAACCACTAGAAATTCTTTATAGCTTCTACTAGCGACAAAAAATTGAAAAATCTTTACGGACTTTTTGCACGGACCCTCGTACAGACGCGTTCAATAATTTGCGTTGAGCGCGCACAGCCGGCCGGAAAAAATCATTCGCAACACTGATTGGTGGAAAAGTATGAGGCCATGTGCTCGGTCACATGAGGTCCAAAGTCCTAATTTTTTTCGCGGTGTGAACGTTTGATCCGCATTGCCAAACTTCGCCGATGGTACGAAAAGCCGACAGCTACGTTCCGGAATTTTTAATTTTTCTGAGATTCTGCGGGTAAATTGGTTGTTATGGCATGATAAATGTGCGTAGATCCAAAGGCTCTAAGTGCTAGTGGTGGCGGAATAAGGACTGTGCCGAATAGGAGCAGATGTGCTCAATTCAGATCCAGTAAGTTCATAGCTTAATGACGCTGACCGTGACCTAATAGATTAAGCTCCCACTATTGCCAGTTTGTCTCAGGTTATGTGGGTTTTCAGCCAAAGCGATTCACTATTAATATTCGAAGTTTTCCTCAATTTTTAGGATTTTTCGAAAAAATCGATAGTTAGCCGGTTTTGTAGGCACTCGGACGTTGCACGCCTGAAAGGCCCAGAAAGAGTCTCACCAATAGTCTCATTTTTTAAAAGTTACAAGCCATAAGGCTCTTACAATTAAACTTCTGTTAAGTGATCAATTAACGTATTGTTCATTCCGATCACTTTAAGTAGAGCCACTGCTGAACACGGGCTCTAGTCGGGTGTTGCACTCCACCAATACTCACACAACTGGCAGGATTCTGCAGGTTTTTAACCGTGTACTTACTTTTTATTGGTAAGTGTTAGTTTACGTATTTTGTTAAAAAAAAACTGGCGACTGACGCTCTTCAAATTCAATTTTCATTATTTATTTATCCCTTAAAAGTGATCAACCTGGTGGTCATGCTGGAAGAAACCGTGGATTCTTCATTCCCCGTATGGTGATTATCTTTATTCTACAAACTTCCGCGAAATGAAAAAATCCCCAATAAATAAAAACAAAATAAGAGTAATCATCAGCATTTCAACCGTGTTTATCCACTTACTTATAGGCGGTATTTATACGCAAAAACTGTTTTCATGTTTCCCAGCCAAGTTTGACCCATGCTGATTATTAAAAGTTATTTTTTCCACTAATCTATTTAAAATTGCTTTGCATTTTCTGTTTTTTCCTTATTTTTGCTTGTTTTTGTTCGTTGCTCGCACTCTTCGCTTTGGTTGCACCGTTTTCCATTAAAATACCTACCGGTCAAGCGGTGAAAGTGGGTTTGGCAATCATGTTCACTTTGCTTTCTACAAAACGGGGCTCGAAAAAAATTAGAGCATGAAAATGGAGCAAACTATCGAAATTTCAGTTGCCGAAAAATCAGATAAAAATTGGTTTTATTTCCTTTCCGAGCATTTGCAATGGGGATATCGAAATCCGTAATTTAGGTATACGAAGTTGGTTAAATCGGAAAAAAGTTGGGCAATCCGAAAACCTGGTCCTTCAAAACTTTTGATCAAACTTGCCACAAAAATCCCAAATTTGCGCATTTCGATTATGTTATTTTTTTGATTTAGTAACGAATCTGGAGCAAAACCGACTGCAGGTTCTCACAGCAACGAAAGAAATACATTATCAGTTTAATGTCCGACGTTTCTCCTCCAAGAAACCAGCATCAACTTCGTTTTTGCAAATACGGCTCGTTTTTATGGTCGGTTTTGTCATTTTTTCAAATTATTATTGCGAAAATTGTAAATATTTTTGCGTTTAGAGACAAATGTAAACGACTCAATTAGTAAACCCTAGTTCAAATACAGTCGCTCCTCAACACAGGAGTTTCTCTGACTCAAAATTTGAACATGAAACAGCAAACTTTTTTTGATTCGGAAATCTTCCCTCCATTTTCCTCCTTAAAAAATGGAGGRAATATTTCCGAATCCAAAAAACTTTGCTGTTTCATGTTCAATTTTGAGTCAGAGAAACTCCTGTGTTGAGTAACTCATAGAGCTGCATCAATTCAAAAGAGCAACTCAGCACAGTGTTACTCATGCCTAGTTCAAATACAGTCGCTCCTCAACACAGGAGTTTCTCTGACTCAAAATTGAACATGAAACAGCAAACTTTTTTGGATTCGGAAATATTTCCTCCATTTTTTACGGAGGAAAATGGAGGGAAGATTTCCGAATCCAAAAAAGTTTGCTGTTTCATGTTCAATTTTGAGTCAGAGAAACTCCTGTGTTAAGGAGCGACTGTATTTGAACTAGGCATGGGTGACACTGGGTTGAGTGTTGATGAAGCTCTATGAGTTAATGAGTTATAACTCATTGCGCTGCACTTCACTGAGTCACTCATGTCTAATTTGAACAAGTAGTCGGAAAGTAGGAAACCGGACAAAGTTAACAACTAATCTCAAACAGTAGGGTGTATTTTAAAAAAGCCAGTGTTCTCTCCAAAAAGAAACAGCAGTGAGGAGAAATTAAACAATGTATTATTGGCACTTGCAAAAATCGAAACTCTTTAAAATGGCTCACTTTTAACGCATAATCTATTTTTATTGAAACAGTTATCTCATTGTTACTTTAGGTACGCATAACTATGCATAAAACTCTATTAATAAATCGCAATAAACACTTAATTTTACACTGGATCTGTAGCAAAATTATCGATTTTCGTTAATTTCGTGTCGATTATACGAGATAATATTTAAGAAGGTTGTTGATAAGTATTTTTGATACAAAACCATTAGCGAATTATTGGCATGTAAATGTTTACAACGTTCAAGTTTGTTGATTGGATAATTGGATTTTGAATATTAATAACAACCGCTCGAAACCTGAGAAATTTGTCATTTTGGCTCAATCGGATTACTGGAGTACTTCGATAAAATCAGGTGAGTTTCGCTCCAAATTACCCAAATTACCTTGAAGGCGGCTGATTATTTTAAGCAGGCATCTTAAAAGATTTTTTATATCATCGATCACTCCATGCAAAGGTACAAAGATACGAAAGTTGCCTAAATTTAAACAAAAGACCGATAGGGTCGATAGGAAATAAAGCTGTTTTTCTCACCACTCCAATCAGAGAACCTTGATAGTTTCACCAATAATTTGACCAAAATCCTTATCTTTTAGGCTCTTTCAATGCAGATTAATTCCTTTTTAATATTGCGTATTAATGGCTCAGATTGTATCTGGCAAATTGCGAACATTTTGAGCAGTTATCAAAGTTAATTATCACATTGACATACTTGGATGGGCTTAATTTCAATATGCGGTTTAATAATAACAAGAATAATAGTCACCACGTGTCCCAAAAGCAGTTGACAAATTGTTTTGTGTCTAATAATTGTTCTCCTACTTGCTATTGGCACTTAAACTCGTTTAATTGTTCACAATTGCCTAATTGCAGGTATTTCCGACATTTTCCCATTTTTTACGACTATTTACCGGAATGTGGTGAATAGTTTTGTTTTCGCCGTGTAGAAGTTACTTAGTGCGCGAAATTTGAAGAACTTTTGCGCATCGTGTTCATTCATTTACCACTTGATCTTATTTTTCCGTAATTTGTCGCCTCAATTGCAAAACAATGCAAAAACTGTGTCAGTATAGTTGCATTTCTCATTCAGTGGCTATTCAGTTTTACAGCTTAGTCGCTTGAAGTTGAACTAAATTAATTTGAGATTGTATTTACGTTGCAAAAATAGCATGTTTCTTTCAGAATCCCGCAAATTCGTAGATCTGACACTGTATTAGACTAAAGTATTTTTACAACATGGGTTTCGACGACGTTTTACCAGTATTAGGCGACTTTGGAAAGTACCAGAAGCGGATTTATTTCCTGCTGTGCTTACCGGCCATCACATCAGCTTTCCATAAGCTAGGAAACGTATTTTTGTTAGCAGAACCACAGTATAGGTAAGTAAGGCGAGTTTATTAAGGACTTTTCAAAAGTCCAAAAAGTTTCGCGTGTGAAACACAACTCCAAACTCCAACTGAGAAGTTGGACCAAAAAAGCGACTTTTCGTCAAAAAAAGAAGATCTCGAAAAACGTTTTTCAATTCGTCGCGTGGTCTCAAAAAAATCAACTTGCTGGTCTTGCAATGGTAATTTTTTTCGTTAGCACCGATTTTCAAAATCTAAGGCTCATATTGAAGCTAAAACTTCAAACTCGTATTGCCAGAAAAATTCCATATAGCGGGTTTCGTGAATGAACGAAATCTTTGAAAGTAAACTTCACTTCCACGATCATAGATTTCGGGGACAATATCTGCAAAATGTTGCATTTTTTATTGGCCACTCTGTAGAAGATTTATCTGAGGTGCTTGATTGACTAACCGAATCGCTTTAAGCAATCAGAATTCATCCAGTTCAAAAGTTAGGGCAACTTTAGACAAATATAAAGCAAACTCGTATGGCTTTTCCATTCATGCTTCCCCTCTGGACCTTCCTGCATATAATTTCATGCTACTTTCAGGTGTCGACGTCCAGACGAGCCGGCAGACAGTCTTTACGATTTGTCGACATCCGAATTGGAGAAATGGTATCCTTTCGACAGCCTCCAGCAAACATTTTCCTCCTGCGAAATTTGGTCGGGAAACGCTACCACGACTTGCAGCGAATTCATTTACAAACACGATGACTACGGGTTTACGACTACCATTGAGGTAAGGCTGGGCAGCTGCAGGAGTCAATCATTCGAACTAAACATTTCCAGTGGAATCTCACCTGCGAAAAGGCTTACCTGATTGCCACTTGCAACTCGATGTTCATGGTGGGCGTGATGTTGGGGTCGATTATATTTGGAGAAACTTCCGATAGGTGAGTGTTTAGCTGCGAATAGGTCAGCATTATTAATATTGTAGATAAGTTCTATATTGTTGAGGCGGATTCATTTTTTACAAACTTCTTTTTGGGTATTTCGCCTCAAAAATTTTTGTCTTTAAAAA